AGTTCCTTATCTACTAGAAGGGATACCTAGTTGAAGAACACACTTGAGAACCTGCTAAGAATCTCACCCATACTACTAAGGTGATCTAAGACTTTTATCAACTTTATCTAGGTGCTCTGTATCAACTCTGCCTTACAGATTTCCAAACCCTACCATTCTGACCTATACTCAAGCTACTAACCAAGCCTAATGCTCACCAATCAGGACAATTGGTTTTAGAGGGGGGGTGATGTTACAGTTCTCTACTCTTGTACCTTCAGTTCTAAGGGTTCTACACCCTTCTGTACTGGAACTCAGGACTTCTGTTCCTCAGGGGCACTGTTTATAAACTATATACATACTGACTCTTACTACTACCCTTCCTTACTTTATCATTCCATTCCTTTGACCACCCCTTCATTCTTTGTATCATTCTATAGTCTCTTACCCTTTGTCCATCCCTTCATTCTTTGTACCTTTATCTTTGACATTCCTTTCTTTCATTCTTTATAGCTTATTATTCTTAAGTGGCTCATACTCCCTGAGTACTCTTGTGTAGTTTAGTATATATAGGTGTACAAGATCAGACTGGTCCTGTAGTCTTGATCTTGTCTACTCTAGGTAGTCCTGTACTCTTAGGCTCACTCTATATACTCTACTCTTGTCTCACTCTCTCTCTCTACCTGTTCTACAAGTTCCAACTACATTCCAGTACTTACATTCTGTATTTCTGTTGTGTAGGATAGTTGTAGCCTGGGTCCCCTTGCTGAGCCTTCAGGTCCCCTCTATACTGTTGCTGACAAAAACCTGAAGAGATAAAAGAAAAATATTATACTTACTTAAGGAGAAACTACATAGTTAGCTAGGAACTCTTTGTACAAAGACAAAGGACTATCAAAGCTAGTAAAGAGTCAGAGTCAATACTCTAAAGCTTTATACTTGAGAAGGACTAGTACTAGTAAAGGAAAGGGAACTGAGAGCTCTGAGGAGAGACTATAGGAAAGTAGTCTCCTTTATACACTTT